GGGTAATTTTAGTAGAGGTGGGGTCTCATTCTTACTCAGGCCGGTCTCGAACTCCTGAGCTCAAGCGATCTAAAGTGCTAGGATTACAGGTGCCAGCCACCGCTCTCCACCTTATGTAGGCATGATTGATTAAATCATTGGCTATTGGTGACTGGACGCAATCTCTAGCCTCTCCCCCCTCCCTAGAGGTCTAGGGAGTGAAGCTGAAAGTTCCAACCTTCTAATCATAGTTAGTTCTTTTGGCAACCTCCATCCTAAAGCTATTTAGGGGCTTTCAGCCACCAGTCATCTCACTGACATACAAAAAGACAACTGTCACACTGAAGATTCTAAAAAGCTCTTGGTGTCAACCAGTAAGACCAAATACAGTCCTCTGCCCTTAACTATAGGGATACTTCTGAGAAATGTGTCTTTAGGCAATTTCATTATTTTCCAAACATCATAGAGTGCACTTACATAAGCCTAGATGGCATAGCCTCCAGTCCACCTAGACTCTATGGTATGGCCTGTTGCTCCTAGGCTCCAAACCTGTAGCATGTTACTGTGCTGAATACTGTAGGCAGTGGTAACACAAATGACAAGTATTTGTGTATCTAAATGTATGTAACCATAGGTAAGGCACAGTAAAAATATGGTATTATAATCTTATGGGACCACTGTAGTATATGCCTTCATTGACTGAAATGGCATTATGCAGCACATGACTGTATTTCTTTTTGTTATCTGTATTTCAAGGCCAGACTAAAATTTTTAGGAAGAGATCAGTTATAGCCGGAATGGGCAATCAAATTCAATAATAATGTTTTGTTTCTCTACCTTTCCTAAAAAGCTAACAGCTGATTTTCTGTATCAGATATGTCTATATATGGGCTTGCGAGCTAACTCTGAAGTTAGCCTTGGAAGAATAATTGCTAAAATATTTTAAGAAATTTTTACAGAAGGGTTTCTATTTTGTTAAGCCAAATAATAAACAACATGTAGTTTGTAGCATGTTAATGAAAAATTTTCCTGCATTTGTTTTTGAGGATTTGATTTTAAGTAGCAGTGCATACAAGGATCGTTTTTTCTTCAAGGTATAATGTGTTTTTTGCCTCCTGGCTATTCTGAAAACCTTATGGGATTCAGCAGTCAATTCACATTCATATGCTTAAAAAAGAAAATTTAAAAAATGTACAGAGTATTCCTTGTCCTGGGAAACAGGTCGTGGCTGGAAAGTGGCTGCCTCGTCACCTGTCACGTAATGCATGTTTCATATGTAGCAGACCAACTTCCTGACTTGCTGTCTCTTGAAAATCAGCCCTCCATATGAGGGTTCGTAGTAAAAACAAACAAACAAACGAAATTAAAAACCCCGCAAAACTGACCCTTTGAAATATCTTATTACTTGGGAAAGCCTGCTTATTATTATTATTATTA